CACAGGTGGTCACAACATCCAAGGGCACAAGGACACCGGTGGTCACAACATCCAAGGACACATGGACACAGGAGGACACAACATCCAAGGGCACAGGGACACAGGTGGTCACAACATCCAAGGGCACATGGACACCGGTGGTCACAACATCCAAGGACACATGGACACAGGAGGACACAACATCCAAGGGCACAGGGACACCGGTGGTCACAACATCCAAGGACACATGGACACAGGAGGACACAACATCCAAGGGCACAGGGACACAGGTGGTCACAACATCCAAGGGCACATGGACACCGGTGGTCACAACATCCAAGGACACATGAACACAGGAGGACACAACATCCAAGGGCACAGGGACACAGGTGGTCACAACATCCAAGGACACATGGACACAGGAGGAAACAACATCCAAGGGTACAGGGACACAGGTGGTCACAACATCCAAGGGCACAAGGACACAGGAGGACACAACATCCAAGGGCACAGGGACACAGGTGGTCACAACATCCAAGGGCACATGGACACCGGTGGTCACAACATCCAAGGACACATGAACACAGGAGGACACAACATCCAAGGGCACAGGGACACAGGTGGTCACAACATCCAAGGACACATGGACACAGGAGGACACAACATCCAAGGGTACAGGGACACAGGTGGTCACAACATCCAAGGGCACAGGGACACAGGTGGTCAAAACATCCAAGGACACATGGACACAGGAGGACACAACATCCAAGGGCACAGGGACACAGGTGGTCACAACATCCAAGGACACATGGACACAGGAGGACACAACATCCAAGGGTACAGGGACACAGATGGTCACAACATCCAAGGGCACAGGGACACAGGTGGTCACAACATCCAAGGGCACATGGACACCGGTGGTCACAACATCCAAGGACACATGGACACAGGAGGACACAACATCCAAGGGCACAGGGACACCGGTGGTCACAACATCCAAGGACACATGGACACAGGAGGACACAACATCCAAGGGCACAGGGACACAGGTGGTCACAACATCCAAGGGCACATGGACACCGGTGGTCACAACATCCAAGGACACATGAACACAGGAGGACACAACATCCTAGGGCACACGGACACAGGTGGTCACAACATCCAAGGACACATGGACACAGGAGGACACAACATCCAAGGGTACAGGGACACAGGTGGTCACAACATCCAAGGGCACAAGGACACAGGAGGACACAACATCCAAGGGCACAGGGACACAGGTAGTCACAACATCCAAGGGCACATGGACACCGGTGGTCACAACATCCAAGGACACATGAACACAGGAGGACACAACATCCAAGGGCACAGGGACACAGGTGGTCACAACATCCAAGGACACATGGACACAGGAGGACACAACATCCAAGGGTACATGGACACAGGTGGTCACATCATCCAAGGGCACATGGACACAGGTGGTCACAACATCCAAGGGCACATGGACACCGGTGGGCAACAGGAGTTCTTGCTTCACCTTTGGAGGAAATGGATGATGTGGAAACGTGGACCCTATGCCTGTCACCTCACAGCCACGAATGCAGAGCACTGGGCGTCTGCACAGCTGACTGTGGCTGCCGGGCTGGGGGTCCCTGGCTGCTATGGGTTGTTACATGGGCCTTGAGAAGGGGACCATCTATTTGCCACCAAAGTTGCAGCCCATGTTTGTAAAGGAACTCAAGGGAGTCCTGGTTCCCAGTCCTGGTGGGGGGTTGTGGGGGCCCCCGAGTGCCAGAGCATCAAGGAAGAAACACAGCTCAGCCTCCCTGTAGGTTCTCCCTGAGCTGAATGAATAGCAGAAGGACAGAGCCTGGGTGCTCTCCAGGGTACCCCTCTTCTAGGTGAGGGCAGACTGAGAAAGGGTGGGGAAAGGAAGGAAGGGAAGCATCCTACTTCCTCCTTCCCAATGGGGTCCAGATTTACTCTTCAGACCTCAGCCTGGGAACCTGCGCTTGCTCCCCTAGAGGCAGCAGGGTCAGCGGACCACAGCAACAGTATTGGGAAGCAGTAGGTCTGAATGAAGATGAGAGAGGCTGTGTGCTCAGTGGGCAGGCCAGGGCTGGCCAAGTCATTCTCACAGAGCTGTTGGTGTCCTGCCATGGCTTCAGCATGCAGCTGTACTGATGACAATGGCCCCGAGCCTGCACGAACAGTGCCTGGTGCTGGAATTCACCACAGCCAGGTCTGGCTTCCACGTGCAAGCTGTCAGAGCACAGCTGTGAGTCTGTCACACTGCACTCAGCTCTCACCCTTGCCAGAAGTAGCCACGAGACTCGGGATGAGAGCCCCAGCCTGAGGAATGAGACCATCTTCTCAGAGAGGGGCTCTGACCGGGGTGTTCCCCACTGTCCCTTCAGGCTCTCAGGTCACTGTCCTCCCACGTGGATGATGTGCTGTCTCCCTGAGCTCATCCTGTGTGGCTCAGAGGGACCCCCGGAGACCGTGGGAAGGGGTGTTGCCAGGCGTGCCCCAACTCCACAGGCAGCTGACTCTTCCAGTTTGCAGGGACCCTGCACTGCTACTACCTGGCGCTCCTTGAGCTTACGGTATTGCAGGTCCCAGATGAGCTCCTGCTCCACAGGCAGGCGTGAACCAGCTAATCTGAGGAACACCGCTTGCACTTCATGTCCTGCCCAAGACAGATCTTGAAACTCTTATTTTAAATGTATGAGTTTATTTTAAATTGATTTTAATTTATTCTAAATCAATAAATGTCTGCATTGTGTCTATGGACCATGTTTGTGCCTAGTGCCCAAGGAAGCCAGAAGAAGAAGAGGACCTCTGATCCCCTGGGCCTGCAGTGTCAAATGGTTACTAGCTGGGTATCTGTGCTGGCAATCAAATCCAGGTCCTCTGCAAAAGCAGCCAGTGCTCTTAGCTGCTGAGCCATCTCTCCAGTCCCTCAGGACAGGACTTTTGAGAGCACCCCTCATGGTAGAATCCAGAGCCTACTTTGGCAACTCCAACCTTTTGTGGCCCTAATCACAGTGTCCTTTTGTGACTTTTACTTCCTAACACACCATAGCCTGCTGTGGTTTAAGACTAACAAACCACCTTGTCTTGTGTGCTCTGGATCCCTCACAGGCTCCGGTGTCACCTCCTGCTTCCACTCGCTGAGTCAGAGCTTCCCACGCCAAGGACAAGCACACTCCACTCACACATTCACAAGGGCACACGGCCAGAGCATGGGGCAGAGTCCACGGGCCCAGATGTTTCCTCCTCGCCAGCACCCGACATCAAACGTGGAAAGCCCTGAATCTCAGGAATGCAAGCTGGCAGAACCCATCCCAAAGTCTCAGATCTTGCCTGGCACTTGGTCCGGGCTCAAGGCTGGAAGCCATCCAGTCTGTCTCTGAGGGCAGCATCAGAATGTGGAGCCCAAGAGGAGGTAGGGAAGATGGACCCGGAACAAACAAATACCACGTTTGGAAACGTCAGTGCCATGTGTGCAGGAGGCACCTGTGGGAGACCTTCCATGCATGTGTAGATGCATTATCTTAATCATCAAATGCACACATCTCAAGATGGTTCAAACCTGAAAACCTAGTCCCCTCCTTGGAGCCCACAGAAAATCTGGGTGCCAGTGCTAGAGAGATGGCTCGGGAGGTTAAGTGCAGTGTGCAGCTCTTCTGGATATGAGTTCAGTTCCCAGCACCCATGTCAGGCAGCTCACATCACTTTGATCAGTTTGGTTTCAGGGAGTAAAACAAGACAGGTCTCCAATGGAACCTGCACTGATGTGTAAACACCTACACACAACTGCATGTGCGCATGCACGCGCGAGCATGCGTGTCCGGAAACACACAATTCAAACTAAATCTTTCCCAGGTGGTTGTGGTGCATGTCTTTAATCCCAGCACTTGGGAAGCAGAGGCAGGTGGATCTCTGTGAGTTCAATGACAGCCTGGTCTACAGAGAGAGGTCCAGGATAGCTATGGTTGTTACACAGAGAAACCTTGTCTCAAAGATTAACCCACCAAAAAATAAATAAATATTTTAAACTTCTGGTCCCGATGATACCCATCTATAACCCAGGTTTCCTACAGTAGGATTGGAGAGACAAGAAGAATCTAGAAGTTCCAAGGCCTGTTAGACAGCTGTCCAGAGCATGAGCAGAAATCAGACACATCTTCCTTTAAATAAGGTAGACTGAGAGAACCAACTCCCAGGTAGTTGTACTCTGACCACCACACATGTGCCATGGCACAGGAGCCTCTTTCTCTCTTCCACACCCCCCAGTATATGTTTCTCTCTCCCTTCCCATCCCTCCCTCCGTCTCCTGCACTCTCTCACAATACAAATACCCCAAACTCTTTAAAACCAGGACTTTTCTAATGGGAGCTGGATGAGATCACCTGTCAGGACCCGGACGGTGTGGAGATCTGGCGCTTAAACTGCCATGGGACATCACCTCTGTTGGCCACAGAACCACTAAAGACTCATTTTGTCACCACCAACGCAGAGCCAAAAGGTGCTCTCTGTGCTCCTTATAGCCCATGTGCACACTGTGTGGAGCTTCTCTTACTCTACCAACCACAAGCCTGTGAACTTGCCTCCACCCCTCTACTGAAAAGGTCCAGGGGACAATCAGGGGACTTGGCAACTCATTCCAAAGGATGGGTTTGCAGGCACCCCAGGATGAAGTGCAAATCCTAGGCCACTACTCCATCAGTGCCATGCCTTCCAGGATAGAATCATCTAAAAGGTCAGAGACAGGGATGGGAAAAAAAACAGGAAAGGAGAAAGCACTGCTGAATGCAGGCGACAGGAGGCAAAACGGGTTTCCTGAGACTGTCCCAGAGATGGCAGTAGTCAGGGCAGGGCCGGGGTTCTTTTCTGGTGGTGGGGGGAGAATGCTGGCCTTGTCAGCCCTGGCCCCAGCGCACCTGGCTAAGCTTGGCTACATGGTGGTTTCTCAGAAGAGAGACCACATCCCATGCAGGACTACTGTTCTCTTTATCCACAAAATTCTTTATTTCAGTTTTGAAAACCTCATGCATGAGAACTGTATTAGGGGAGATAGAGTGGAGTGTAAATGAGGACTGGTATTCTTAGAGGGGTGGGAAGGAACAGTTTCCACCCTGTTGCTGTACCTCATCCCCCACCAAAAGAGAACATAGGACAAAATGACTTAATGTGCAACAGCTGTCACCGAGGATAGGCGGGGACAAAAGCGGGGGGCACAAAGTCTGCTCTGGCTGGAGAGCAGAGGTCCTCAACTTGTGGGATACTGACATTAAAATTCATCTAAAATTCATAGCAGTAACCAATTTACAGGTATGAAGTGGCCACGAAATAATTAGTACAGCTGGGGTACCACAACATGAGGAACTGCATGCATTAAAGGGTCGCAGCAGGAGGAAGTCTGAGATCCACTGCTGCAGAGTGACTGGAAGGGAGCAGGATCCACGGGTAGTAGCCTGGCCTCTTCTGCAGGGGCGCTGGGTTCAACCTGTGAGGCAGAGCACAGTCAGGCTAGCCCTGGCTTCCTGAGCAGCCAGGAATGTGGGAAGGGCAGTGGGAGGCAGAACACTCACTTCAAAGATCCTGTGCACAGCAGAACACTCCCTTCAAAGAGCCTCGAACTTTTCATTGAGGGCCTGCATGAAGGCTGAAACACAGGTTCAAATGGGTATTCCAGACCCAGACACACAGGAACGGACCCGCCTGACCCCTTCTCTGTGCCCCAGGAACTTCCAGCCAGCCACCTCACTGCCCTCCAGCCACCATGCAAGGAGCCTGGGGACAGACTCCCCCACCCATCACCGAGCTCTATGTGGGAGCGTTTTTTCTACAGGAGAACAGCAAGGACAGGCAGTCCTCAAACGCTGGGCCACAGCACTGCCAGCCCTACTTGTGAAACAAGCAAACATGTGACAACAAACACTTCACAAGCCACACCCGCCAGGACCTCAAGGGAAACTACAGCGGGACTGTCTAAATGCCCAGAGAGAAGGGAAGCTGGGGGACTCATCTGCACCGCACACGGGAGAGCACTGGCTCTGGGTGCAAGTCCCTGCAGTCAATGCACAGAGGCCCCCAGTCTGGCCTGCTTGAGGTCACCTCCCACCAGAGAACCGCCCCTCAGCCCACCCCAATCACCTGCACCCAAACACTGAGTTCTCCCTCCGGCCCTCTCCCCATTGCTTCCCTGCCCTGGCTCGGTCATACCTAGTTGTTCCTTGAGTTCCTCTATTTCCTTCTGTAACATCAGGCACTAGCCCAGCAGATGGGAGAAAAAGAGAGAAAGATTAGCATTCAATGTCCTGGCCTTCTGTCTGCTCCATTCAGACGTCTTCCTAGTGTTTACACCTCTCACTGGCCACAGTCCTGTGAGGAGACTGGCAAAGAACCTCAAACATGAAGGAGGTGTCCTCTTTCTGTGGAGTGTGGGACAGGCGTTGGCACAGAATGTGAACTGTCAGCTCAGGGCTATCTGGGGCTGGCATTTCTGAGCTGAGAAAGTCTTTCTTACCTGTTGGCAAGCCTGTGCTCCTGGTGTTTGATATTGCCTCTCTCCCATTGTGAATGGGAGACGCAGGGGTGGTTCCTGGCCACCTGAAAACACGCACACACACAGTCACATGAGACACAAAAATATAGATGGGATAAGACCTCTAGGCTTGTGATTGTGCAGGGACTGGTGGGTACTAAAATGGGATAGCAACAGCCTCTGCTGGAAGCAATTGTACCTCAACTCTGCCCAGGCTATTCTTCTTCACTCCAGCCCAGAGGCAGCATTAAGTTGCTGGGAGCCCCTAAATCTGTGGCCCTGAGCCAATGTTCTCAGGACTACCACCCACAGTTACATTCAGGAAGGAACACAGTACCTAAGCAGGGTTCACCAGCAAGAACTCTGGTGCCCTAAAAGTAAGCTTCTGCAGTTAGAGTTGTCCCACCCTTTAGAGTCATGTATCCCACAGGCCAACTTGTTTCACAGTGTGGCCTGAGGCCAGCCCTGCCCACACTCAGTCTCCTTTGGACTGAAGCCCAAGGAACAAGGCTACAATCACCAAAAGGGACAGAGCCTAAGGTTTCCTTCCTTTCCCCATCCTCCCCTGCTCACCCGCTGCTCTCAAACCCCAAAGACTCACCAGCAGAGGCAGGAGCTCTGAGACGGGCACTTCTCTGCCTCAAGACCTGAGAGCTTCCTGGAACTTGGGGTGCTCGAAGGTTGAGGTCTCCACTGCTCATTTCTCCACGATGCATGAACATGCAGGGTTGCTCTGCCCTGTGTGTTGGAAGCTGACACAAAAATTTCTCAGTGAGTACATGTCATGGAGGGGCTGAGGGGCAAGTGGGAGAAAAAAATGGAGGCTTGTGAGGCTCATCCCATCCGCACCTTCTCTTCCTCCTTCAGCCTCAGGGCAAGAGGCAGGAATGGCGCCCCCAAGCACTGAAAAGGCTCAGATCCTGGCCTGGCTTCCTTGGGGAAGAGCCAGGAGGGAGGATCAGGAGGCCCTTGGATCTGACTACAGCCAAGCTGTGCAGCCCACACTGGAAGGGCTCTCCGGATCCAAATCACCCAGACTGTAGCCAGGCCTGCTTCCCACCCTGCCTGGCTAGAGAGAGGAGATGCACAGGGAGGGAACAGTAGCCAACACCTAACTGAGGCTCCCTCATATCCACCCTTCCTTATGACCAGGACCCCACACCAGACATCCTAATCAGGGCAAGTGTCCACTGACTACCCCGAGGCCAAGGTAGTGGCAGAGGGAGCAGGACAACGGTCTGTGCTGGGGAGGGAAAGGGCGGGGTGAGAGGGGACAGAGGGTGCTCTACTCACTTGAGCCTGCAGGCCAGAATCTCTGGTGGAGTCATCATCTTTGGCTCCTGGCTGGGATTCCTTTGTCTTCTTTGCCAGGGATTTCTTCCCAGTGCAGAAGGGCTTGCACTCTTTGGGCCCCGAAGGCAGTGAGCATTTATTGCCCTTCCCTAGCAGGGCAACCCCAGAGATTGGGGGGAAAGTGGCTGGTTCCACAGGAGCTGACTTGAGTCTCTGTCCCCATGCTGGGAAGGTTCTTCCCAGGGGTCCTCTTGAGGCATCCCACTGAATAGGTTTCTCCTGTGCTGCCTTCTTTCTAGGACTGGTCTTGGGAATGGCACCTGAAGCAATGGCAGCAGGGGCAGGGACCACAGCAGAGATGGCAGTAGCAGAGGAAGCAGCAGTTCCTGGGATGCTGTGTCTGCTCCCTTCTTTGCCCCAGACCACACTTTGCTTTTTCTTAGACAGGGAGCCTTCCAGCTCTCCTGAAGCCTGCTTCTCCATGCTTGAGCTGAGTGTCCGGGTAGCACTGGACAGTACAGAGGGGGGCACATGGACGAAACTTTCCCTGCCATGGACAGTCGCGTGTCTGCCTGTGTCTTCCAGCTCAGTGAGGCCACTGGACTTGCCTTGGCCTCCTTCTTTGAGGGAAATGGTCACCCTCATCATTTGTGTCTCACTGGCCTCATCAGAAGACTCAGGATCGGAGGACGGATAATGAATATCCTCACTGGCTATTATCCTGCTTTTGGCACTTCTTCTTGGGGTCACCCAGGCCCTGCCCCGCCCCAGACCCCTGGAGTGCAGTTGGCTAGCTGAGAGCTGCAGCCCTTCCATAGAGGTCGGAGGTCTCAAGCCTCTCCTGCTTGTGCCTGTGTCTGTGTCTCCCCAAATACCAAAGGGATCAGAAGCGCAGCTTCTGGGGGACGGATGTCTGCGGACACCCCAGGCCTCCCGGTTGGCTACATACTGCCCGAAGCTTGTACCCTCTACTGTCAGCTGCGGTGCAAAGTCCAAATTGTCCCCTCTCTCATCCACGGGAGTGCCAGGCCGACCTTCGCAGCCCCAAATGTCTGACCTGCCCTCCATCTCATCACTGTCTAACCAGGAGTCATACTGGAAAGTCTTGGAGACAGGGAAACACATTTTGTCCTCTCTGCTCCGGAACAGCCTCTCGTCGGAGCCGAAGCCATGTCCCCTCAGGAATCCATGGCTAAAGCGGCGTCCTTCCATGTGCTCCCCACTTTCCGGCCCAAAACCACCTCCCTGCACAGACATATCATCAGGAGAGCTCATGTTTGCAGCCCAGCAGGCGCCATCTGAGGGGACACGGCCACCAGCTCTCTGCATTTTCGGCGGCCTTCCCTCGGCGGCTGCGATGCCTTCGGTGGCGAAGGGAACCGCCACCGCCACTGGCGCTACACGTCTCGTTTGAAACAACGCGAGACTTAGCGCATTCTCCCCCCCCCCCCCCCCCCCCCCCCCCGCCCGTCTTATTGGTCGGCCACTCAGCCAGCCACCAACCAGGGCGGCCGTTGTTTGGCTGGTACCCAGGGCCCTAGCCAATAGAGACGAGAGTGCTTACTTTGCCGCGTTAAAAGGCGGGCTTTCACGCCTGAGTGTGAGGAAATTTCGAGACTTCGACGTCACGCTAAGTCACGTGGCCTCTGACATAACCGCTTGCGGCCCCCCGTGGTGAAAGACCTCACTTTCTCTGTGGTGAGTGGGAGAGAACATCTTCCCTCAGGCCGTGCCGCCCCTCCTGGCGACATGAGCTCCCGGGATGAGGATAAGGTATCCGCTCCTGAAGCCACCTTCGGGCAGGAGGGCAGGGAACACTTAGAGGACCCCCTGATCAGTCTCGGAGTTGCAGAGGGCTCGAGCCTCATCAAAGGGCCTCTGAAGATCGGAGAGGGAGAGGGCGGTCTCCCTGGGACTGATAGCTGCGAGGAGGAGCCTTGGCCTAAGTCGGAAGCAACCAAGGAAGGAGAAGGGCTGCTTAGTGAGCCAGAAGGCAGGGCCGCTTCTCCCGTGGACCAAGAAGATGTCGGCGTGGACTTCCTGCCCCAGCTCAGTATTGAGGCTACAGCGATAATGCGAGAGCTGTCCAACCTACAGACGCGAAGAGTTTCCAGGTACCTGTCCCCACAAACCTGCGCCGCTGAACTGGCCGCCCTTTGGGGAAGTGTAGATGATGTCTCCAGCAGAGGGGGGCAGGCCCTGAGCAGTGTTGAAGGGAAGCAGGTCTCGGCTAGCCCACTGTACCCCCGGGGCCTGGGGAGAAACAGAGCCTGGGTGGCCCCGAGAAGAGGTGTCACAAGTAGGATGTTGAGCAGTGAAAGTATTCAGTGTCCCTCCTCATACCCTACATCTTCTGATGAGGCCAGTGAGACACAAATGATGAGGGTGACCATTTCCCTCAAAGAAGGAGGCCAAGGCAAGTCCAGTGGCCTCACTGAGCTGGAAGACACAGGCAGACACGCGACTGTCCATGGCAGGGAAAGTTTCGTCCATGTGCCCCCCTCTGTACTGTCCAGTGCTACCCGGACACTCAGCTCAAGCATGGAGAAGCAGGCTTCAGGAGAGCTGGAAGGCTCCCTGTCTAAGAAAAAGCAAAGTGTGGTCTGGGGCAAAGAAGGGAGCAGACACAGCATCCCAGGAGCCACTGCTGCTGCTGCCACCTCTGCTGCAGTCCTTGCCCCTGCTGCCACTGCTCCAGGTGCCATTCCCAAGACCAGTCCTAGAAAGAAGGCAGCACAGGAGAAGCCTCAGAAGCAAGTCCATGAGAAGTCCTTATTAGATCCCTCAAGAGGACCCCTGGGAAGAACCTTCCCAGCATGGAGACAGAGACTCAAGTCAGCTCCTGTAGGACCATCCACCCTCCCCCCAATCTCTGGGGTTGCCCTGCTAGGGAAGGGCAATAAATGCTCACTGCCTTCGGGGCCCAAAGAGTGCAAGCCCTTCTGCACTGGGAAGAAATCCCTGGCAAAGAAGACAAAGGAATCCCAGCCAGGAGCCAAAGATGATGACTCCACCAGAGATTCTGGCCTGCAGGCTCAAGTGAGTAGAGCACCCTCTGTCCCCTCTCACCCCGCCCTTTCCCTCCCCAGCACAGACCGTTGTCCTGCTCCCTCTGCCACTACCTTGGCCTCGGGGTAGTCAGTGGACACTTGCCCTGATTAGGATGTCTGGTGTGGGGTCCTGGTCATAAGGAAGGGTGGATATGAGGGAGCCTCAGTTAGGTGTTGGCTACTGTTCCCTCCCTGTGCATCTCCTCTCTCTAGCCAGGCAGGGTGGGAAGCAGGCCTGGCTACAGTCTGGGTGATTTGGATCCGGAGAGCCCTTCCAGTGTGGGCTGCACAGCTTGGCTGTAGTCAGATCCAAGGGCCTCCTGATCCTCCCTCCTGGCTCTTCCCCAAGGAAGCCAGGCCAGGATCTGAGCCTTTTCAGTGCTTGGGGGCGCCATTCCTGCCTCTTGCCCTGAGGCTGAAGGAGGAAGAGAAGGTGCGGATGGGATGAGCCTCACAAGCCTCCATTTTTTTCTCCCACTTGCCCCTCAGCCCCTCCATGACATGTACTCACTGAGAAATTTTTGTGTCAGCTTCCAACACACAGGGCAGAGCAACCCTGCATGTTCATGCATCGTGGAGAAATGAGCAGTGGAGACCTCAACCTTCGAGCACCCCAAGTTCCAGGAAGCTCTCAGGTCTTGAGGCAGAGAAGTGCCCGTCTCAGAGCTCCTGCCTCTGCTGGTGAGTCTTTGGGGTTTGAGAGCAGCTGGTGAGGGGGAATATCAAGGCTCTCCTCCTTTGGGAGACTGTAGCCTTGGGCTTTCCTGTCTAGGTAGGCAGGGGGTGACAGGAGACTGGGTGTGGGTGGGTCTGGCCTCAGGCCACACTGAGAAAAGAGTAGGATTATAGGATTCAGGGCATGAAAGCATCATATGACAACACCAAATCCAGAGGTGGCCTTTTAGCACACCAGAGTTTTTGCTGGTAAACCCTGCTAAGGCATTAGGCTCATCCCACATTCTGTATTTCACTAGCAGTCCTTATAATAGGGGTACATAGAGCCTCAGGGTTGCCTAGGAGCTACAAGAAATAGAAAAGCTTAAAGCTTGGTGCAAGTGATGTCGCAACATACACACGTGGGGACCAGCAGAGGGTGATGTTGTCTCATTTCAGATTTCACCAGTTCCTTCCCACATGGACGCCAAGCCTTGAAGCTGCATAATACATTTATATTCTTTTTTTAGTTTCAGCTGAACAGGATCCAACTGTGGATCCTTTACTACCTGTTGGAGAGAGTCAGCCAGAATCAGTACAAGGCACACCAGGATGTCCGCAGGTAAGGTTCTCACAAAAATAAATGCCAGCCCCAGATAGCCCTGAGCTGACAGTTCACATTCTGTGCCAACGCCTGTCCCACACTCCACAGAAAGAGGACACCTCCTTCATGTTTGAGGTTCTTTGCCAGTCTCCTCACAGGACTGTGGCCAGTGAGAGGTGTAAACACTAGGAAGACGTCTGAATGGAGCAGACAGAAGGCCAGGACATTGAATGCTAATCTTTCTCTCTTTTTCTCCCATCTGCTGGGCTAGTGCCTGATGTTACAGAAGGAAATAGAGGAACTCAAGGAACAACTAGGTATGACCGAGCCAGGGCAGGGAAGCAATGGGGAGAGGGCCGGAGGGAGAACTCAGTGTTTGGGTGCAGGTGATTGGGGTGGGCTGAGGGGCGGTTCTCTGGTGGGAGGTGACCTCAAGCAGGCCAGACTGGGGGCCTCTGTGCATTGACTGCAGGGACTTGCACCCAGAGCCAGTGCTCTCCCGTGTGCGGTGCAGATGAGTCCCCCAGCTTCCCTTCTCTCTGGGCATTTAGACAGTCCCGCTGTAGTTTCCCTTGAGGTCCTGGCGGGTGTGGCTTGTGAAGTGTTTGTTGTCACATGTTTGCTTGTTTCACAAGTAGGGCTGGCAGTGCTGTGGCCCAGCGTTTGAGGACTGCCTGTCCTTGCTGTTCTCCTGTAGAAAAAACGCTCCCACATAGAGCTCGGTGATGGGTGGGGGAGTCTGTCCCCAGGCTCCTTGCATGGTGGCTGGAGGGCAGTGAGGTGGCTGGCTGGAAGTTCCTGGGGCACAGAGAAGGGGTCAGGCGGGTCCGTTCCTGTGTGTCTGGGTCTGGAATACCCATTTGAACCTGTGTTTCAGCCTTCATGCAGGCCCTCAATGAAAAGTTCGAGGCTCTTTGAAGGGAGTGTTCTGCTGTGCACAGGATCTTTGAAGTGAGTGTTCTGCCTCCCACTGCCCTTCCCACATTCCTGGCTGCTCAGGAAGCCAGGGCTAGCCTGACTGTGCTCTGCCTCACAGGTTGAACCCAGCGCCCCTGCAGAAGAGGCCAGGCTACTACCCGTGGATCCTGCTCCCTTCCAGTCACTCTGCAGCAGTGGATCTCAGACTTCCTCCTGCTGCGACCCTTTAATGCATGCAGTTCCTCATGTTGTGGTACCCCAGCTGTACTAATTATTTCGTGGCCACTTCATACCTGTAAATTGGTTACTGCTATGAATTTTAGATGAATTTTAATGTCAGTATCCCACAAGTTGAGGACCTCTGCTCTCCAGCCAGAGCAGACTTTGTGCCCCCCGCTTTTGTCCCCGCCTATCCTCGGTGACAGCTGTTGCACATTAAGTCATTTTGTCCTATGTTCTCTTTTGGTGGGGGATGAGGTACAGCAACAGGGTGGAAACTGTTCCTTCCCACCCCTCTAAGAATACCAGTCCTCATTTACACTCCACTCTATCTCCCCTAATACAGTTCTCATGCATGAGGTTTTCAAAACTGAAATAAAGAATTTTGTGGATAAAGAGAACAGTAGTCCTGCATGGGATGTGGTCTCTCTTCTGAGAAACCACCATGTAGCCAAGCTTAGCCAGGTGCGCTGGGGCCAGGGCTGACAAGGCCAGCATTCTCCCCCCACCACCAGAAAAGAACCCCGGCCCTGCCCTGACTACTGCCATCTCTGGGACAGTCTCAGGAAACCCGTTTTGCCTCCTGTCGCCTGCATTCAGCAGTGCTTTCTCCTTTCCTGTTTTTTTTCCCATCCCTGTCTCTGACCTTTTAGATGATTCTATCCTGGAAGGCATGGCACTGATGGAGTAGTGGCCTAGGATTTGCACTTCATCCTGGGGTGCCTGCAAACCCATCCTTTGGAATGAGTTGCCAAGTCCCCTGATTGTCCCCTGGACCTTTTCAGTAGAGGGGTGGAGGCAAGTTCACAGGCTTGTGGTTGGTAGAGTAAGAGAAGCTCCACACAGTGTGCACATGGGCTATAAGGAGCACAGAGAGCACCTTTTGGCTCTGCGTTGGTGGTGACAAAATGAGTCTTTAGTGGTTCTGTGGCCAACAGAGGTGATGTCCCATGGCAGTTTAAGCGCCAGATCTCCACACCGTCCGGGTCCTGACAGGTGATCTCATCCAGCTCCCATTAGAAAAGTCCTGGTTTTAAAGAGTTTGGGGTATTTGTATTGTGAGAGAGTGCAGGAGACGGAGGGAGGGATGGGAAGGGAGAGAGAAACATATACTGGGGGGTGTGGAAGAGAGAAAGAGGCTCCTGTGCCATGGCACATGTGTGGTGGTCAGAGTACAACTACCTGGGAGTTGGTTCTCTCAGTCTACCTTATTTAAAGGAAGATGTGTCTGATTTCTGCTCATGCTCTGGACAGCTGTCTAACAGGCCTTGGAACTTCTAGATTCTTCTTGTCTCTCCAATCCTACTGTAGGAAACCTGGGTTATAGATGGGTATCATCGGGACCAGAAGTTTAAAATATTTATTTATTTTTTGGTGGGTTAATCTTTGAGACAAGGTTTCTCTGTGTAACAACCATAGCTATCCTGGACCTCTCTCTGTAGACCAGGCTGTCATTGAACTCACAGAGATCCACCTGCCTCTGCTTCCCAAGTGCTGGGATTAAAGACATGCACCACAACCACCTGGGAAAGATTTAGTTTGAATTGTGTGTTTCCGGACACGCATGCTCGCGCGTGCATGCGCACATGCAGTTGTGTGTAGGTGTTTACACATCAGTGCAGGTTCCATTGGAGACCTGTCTTGTTTTACTCCCTGAAACCAAACTGATCAAAGTGATGTGAGCTGCCTGACATGGGTGCTGGGAACTGAACTCATATCCAGAAGAGCTGCACACTGCACTTAACCTCCCGAGCCATCTCTCTAGCACTGGCACCCAGATTTTCTGTGGGCTCCAAGGAGGGGACTAGGTTTTCAGGTTTGAACCATCTTGAGATGTGTGCATTTGATGATTAAGATAATGCATCTACACATGCATGGAAGGTCTCCCACAGGTGCCTCCTGCACACATGGCACTGACGTTTCCAAACGTGGTATTTGTTTGTTCCGGGTCCATCTTCCCTACCTCCTCTTGGGCTCCACATTCTGATGCTGCCCTCAGAGACAGACTGGATGGCTTCCAGCCTTGAGCCCGGACCAAGTGCCAGGCAAGATCTGAGACTTTGGGATGGGTTCTGCCAGCTTGCATTCCTGAGATTCAGGGCTTTCCACGTTTGATGTCGGGTGCTGGCGAGGAGGAAACATCTGGGCCCGTGGACTCTGCCCCATGCTCTGGCCGTGTGCCCTTGTGAATGTGTGAGTGGAGTGTGCTTGTCCTTGGCGTGGGAAGCTCTGACTCAGCGAGTGGAAGCAGGAGGTGACACCGGAGCCTGTGAGGGATCCAGAGCACACAAGACAAGGTGGTTTGTTAGTCTTAAACCACAGCAGGCTATGGTGTGTTAGGAAGTAAAAGTCACAAAAGGACACTGTGATTAGGGCCACAAAAGGTTGGAGTTGCCAAAGTAGGCTCTGGATTCTACCATGAGGGGTGCTCTCAAAAGTCCTGTCCTGAGGGACTGGAGAGATGGCTCAGCAGCTAAGAGCACTGGCTGCTTTTGCAGAGGACCTGGATTTGATTGCCAGCACAGATACCCAGCTAGTAACCATTTGACACTGCAGGCCCAGGGGATCAGAGGTCCTCTTCTTCTTCTGGCTTCCTTGGGCACTAGGCACAAACATGGTCCATAGACACAATGCAGACATTTATTGATTTAGAATAAATTAAAATCAATTTAAAATAAACTCATACATTTAAAATAAGAGTTTCAAGATCTGTCTTGGGCAGGACATGAAGTGCAAGCGGTGTTCCTCAGATTAGCTGGTTCACGCCTGCCTGTGGAGCAGGAGCTCATCTGGGACCTGCAATACCGTAAGCTCAAGGAGCGCCAGGTAGTAGCAGTGCAGGGTCCCTGCAAACTGGAAGAGTCAGCTGCCTGTGGAGTTGGGGCACGCCTGGCAACACCCCTTCCCACGGTCTCCGGGGGTCCCTCTGAGCCACACAGGATGAGCTCAGGGAGACAGCACATCATCCACGTGGGAGGACAGTGACCTGAGAGCCTGAAGGGACAGTGGGGAACACCCCGGTCAGAGCCCCTCTCTGAGAAGATGGTCTCATTCCTCAGGCTGGGGCTCTCATCCCGAGTCTCGTGGCTACTTCTGGCAAGGGTGAGAGCTGAGTGCAGTGTGACAGACTCACAGCTGTGCTCTGACAGCTTGCACGTGGAAGCCAGACCTGGCTGTGGTGAATTCCAGCACCAGGCACTGTTCGTGCAGGCTCGGGGCCATTGTCATCAGTACAGCTGCATGCTGAAGCCATGGCAGGACACCAACAGCTCTGTGAGAATGACTTGGCCAGCCCTGGCCTGCCCACTGAGCACACAGCCTCTCTCATCTTCATTCAGACCTACTGCTTCCCAATACTGTTGCTGTGGTCCGCTGACCCTGCTGCCTCTAGGGGAGCAAGCGCAGGTTCCCAGGCTGAGGTCTGAAGAGTAAATCTGGACCCCATTGGGAAGGAGGAAGTAGGATGCTTCCCTTCCTTCCTTTCCCCACCCTTTCTCAGTCTGCCCTCACCTAGAAGAGGGGTACCCTGGAGAGCACCCAGGCTCTGTCCTTCTGCTATTCATTCAGCTCAGGGAGAACCTACAGGGAGGCTGAGCTGTGTTTCTTCCTTGATGCTCTGGCACTCGGGGGCCCCCACAACCCCCCACCAGGACTGGGAACCAGGACTCCCTTGAGTTCCTTTACAAACATGGGCTGCAACTTTGGTGGCAAATAGATGGTCCCATTCTCAAGGCCCATGTAACAACCCATAGCAGCCAGGGACCCCCAGCCCGGCAGCCACAGTCAGCTGTGCAGACGCCCAGTGCTCTGCATTCGTGGCTGTGAGGTGACAGCCAAGGGTCCACGTTTCCACATCATCCATTTCCTCCAAAGGTGAAGCAAGAACTCCTGTTGCCCACCGGTGTCCATGTGCCCTTGGATGTTGTGACCACCTGTGTCCCTGTACCCTTGGATGTTGTGTCCTCCTGTGTCCATGTGTCCTTGGATGTTGTGACCACCTGTGTCCCTGTGCCCTTGGGTGTTGTGTCCTCCTGTGGTCATGTGTCCTTGGATGTTGTGACCACCGGTGTCCATGTGCCCTTGGATGTTGTGACCACCTGTGTCCCTGTGCCCTTGGATGTTGTGTCCTCCTGTGTCCTTGTGCCCTTGGATGTTGTGACCACCTGTGTCCCTGTACCCTTGGATGTTGTGTCCTCCTGTGTCCATGTGTCTTTGGATGTTGTGACCACCTGTGTCCCTGTGCCCTTGGATGTTGTGTCCTCCTGTGTTCATGTGTCCTTGGATGTTGTGACCACCGGTGTCCATGTGCCCTTGGATGTTGTGACCACCTGTGTCCCTGTGCCCTTGGATGTTGTGTCCTCCTGTGTCCATGTGTCCTTGGATGTTGTGACCACCGGTGTCCCTGTGCCCTTGGATGTTGTGTCCTCCTGTGTCCATGTGTCCTTGGATGTTGTGACCACCGGTGTCCATGTGCCCTTGGATGTTGTGACCACCTGTGTCCCTGTGCCCTTGGATGTTGTGACCACCTGTGTCCCTGTACCCTTGGATGTTGTGTCCTCCTGTGTCCATGTGTCCTTGGATGTTGTGACCACCTGTGTCCCTGTGCCCTTGGATGTTGTGTCCTCCTGTGTCCATGTGTCCTTGGATGTGGTGACCACCTGTGTCCCTGTGCACTTGGATGTTGTGACCACCTGTGTCCCTGTACCCTTGGATGTTGTGTCCTCCTGTGTCCATGTGTCCTTGGATGTTGTGACCACCTGTGTCCCTGTGCCCTTGGATGTTGTGTCCTCCTGTGTCCATGTGTCCTTGGATGTTGTGACCACCGGTGTCCATGTGCCCTTGGATGTTGTGACCACCTGTGTCCCTGTGCCCTTGGATGTTGTGTCCTCCTGTGTCCATGTGTCCTTGGATGTTGTGACCACCGGTGTCCTTGTGCACTTGGATGTTGTGACCACCTGTGTCCCTGTGCCCTTGGATGTTGTGTCCTCCTGTGTCCATGTGTCCTTGGATGTTGTGACCACCTGTGTCCCTGTGCCCTTGGATGTTGTGTCCTCCTGTGTTCATGTGCCCTTGGATGTTGTGACCACCTGTGTCCCTGTACCCTTAAAGTTGTGACCACCTGTGCCCCTGTGCCCTTGGATGTTGTGACCACCGGTGTCCTTGTGCCCTTGGATGTTGTGACAACCTGTGTCCCTGTGCCCTTGGATGTTGTGTCCTCCTGTGTCCATGTGCCCTTGGATGTTGAGACCACCTGTGTCCCGGTGCCCTTGGATGTTGTGTCCTCCTGTGTCCATGTGTCCTTGGATGTTGTGACCACCGGTGTCCTTGTGCCCTTGGATGTTGTGACCACCTGTGTCCCTGTGCCCTTGGATGTTGTGTCCTCCTGTTTC